ACTCCTCAAGAAGTGACTTTGCCTCGGTATAACCTTCAAAGCCTGCCTCCTCCCTGTGGAAAGATGGCCAAGGCTTGTTTTAAGTTGTAAACAGTCAATGGTTTTTTCAGTCAGGGCTCACGGTTTCTTTTGTAATATAATTTCTTCAAAACTTACACGGCTTCAGACCACTCTGCATCCCACACACCCATGGTACTTTCTTTGACACGGCTCTCAATTTCACTTTATTTTTTTTTTTTGCTTTCTTGTCCCCACGCCTGTCTCTCTCAACTGGTGGCTCGCAAATGGTGGCTACACCATTAATACAATCTTTGCTAGGATTTACTTCATTTCATTGAAAAACTTAACTGGTCTTCAACCCTTAAAGACTTAATCCTGTCGTTTACTGTTTAAGATCCAAAGCAGTGTACTTTCCTAAAACTTCAAGGCTCTAAACTTCTGGATTCTGTTTCCTTTTGTTTCTTATTAATCAGCCAAACATCCCCTGAGCTAATCTCTTTCTTATTACATCTGAACAGACATAAACAATTCTAACTGGCACAATGCTAAGGTTCTGTTTTAGAAAAGCTTCCCCTAGGACTGCTGGCTCAGGAGGCTCATGACCTGCCCCAGCATTTTTGCAGGTAATAGTTTTGCCACTGCAACAGAGATCAACACTTTCCAAGCCTTCCTATGTCCGTTTCCTTGTCGTCCATCACATGATCACTAGGCCAGGGTCACACATTCAATGTTTTTGAAAGGGCAAAAGCTCTTTTCAAGGTATCAATTTCTACATTACTCAAGATAAGTACGCCTAGTTGAAGTGACAATCTCTAAATCTGTGAGTTAACATAATAGAGGTTTATGTTTCACAGCATGTTCAAAGCTGGTTGGGAAGCTCTCCTGGAGTGTCTGCTCCAGGTAGTGACTCAGGGATCCAGGATGGTGTGAAGTCACTGTCTACAATGGCTGGGCTCTATGGTGGCCACCGGAGGGGAAGAGAAAGCGCGTGGTGTTTGATGGCTATGCCTGCAAGTAGTATACATTAGTTTTGTCTCCATCTCTATTCCATCAGCCAGAATCTAATAACATAACCTCAACTGTATGCAAGGAGAGCTGGAAAGTGGTCTCCTTTTGTGGCTGAGAGGAGCAAAAGCGAGTGGTGACCATATAGCCAGTCTCTGCCCTACCCCAGGAGACATTATTGCCGTATCCATCCCCAGGAGACATTATTGCCATATCCATTCAACGTTCGTTTAGACTCATTCCCATCCTTAGCATGTTCTTGCTCTTCATACATTCTTCATATAATATCTTCTTTCTGGGTTCACTTTCCTTCTGCCTGAAGCACACCTTTAGAATTTCTTTTAGTGAGTGCCTTCTGGCAGTCACCTCTCTCAGTTTTGTTTATCTGAAATTTGCCATTCAGTTTGCCCTTGTCTTTGAGAGGTATTTCTTATGGACATAAAATTCTAGTTGATAATTCTTTGACCTCAATTCATTGAAGATATTATTCCACAGTGTTCTGGCCTCTGTTGTTTCTGATGAGCAGTCAGCTTCCAATTCAACTGTTGTTCCTGTCTCTCTGGATGCTTTTAAAAAGTTCTCTCTGTCTTTTGTGTTCTGCAATCTCATTATCATGTGTGTAGGTCTGGTTTTCTTGTTATTAATAATGCTTAGGATTCACCAATCTTCTTCAATCTGTAGATTTTTGATTCTCTTCAGTTCTGGAAAATTCCAAGACATTATCTGGACAAATATAGGCTCCACTACCTTCTATTTCTTCTCCTTCTGGATTTTAATTAGATGTATGTTAAACTCTCTCACTCTATCCTCCACGTCTTTTGCATCATTTTGATATTTTCTATCTTATATCTCTCTGGGCTGCATTCTGGACAGTTTCTTCTGAACCACTAATCACTGCCCCAAATCTGGTGTGAAACTCTTCCATGGAGTTTTTGATGTTGTGTTATATTTTCATTTCTAGAAGTTTCATTTAGTTATCTTTCAAAACTTCTTGATTATTATTTATAGTTTCTTGTTCTCCGCACACACGTTCAAGTCTGTATTTTATTTCTTTAAGCATATTGTATCTAATTATACTGTCATCCATGGCTAATAATTTTATTACCTGAAGAAATGGAATGGCTGTTTCCACATCTCTGGTTTCTTCTGGATCTCCCTCACTCGTGGTGCCTCATTATTTCTGTACTCGTTTGTTTTTTACTGCAACTCTTAGGCCCTTTGAGGGGGATGCTTTGAGACCCGGGATGCAGGTTGGTTCCTTCAGAGGGTGTTTATGTTGACTCCTGGAGGGCACTTTGTAGGATTGCTCTAAATCAAAGCCTCAGCTTGAAATACCTAGGAAGTGTGAGTTCCTGCTAAAGTCCTATGTAAGCACCACTTCGGGGTTTCAAATTCTCGGTATCAATTTTTGCCCCCTCTGCCTGGTGTCTGGCACTACACATTTACTTTTCCTTGCTTTCTCCTGGGTTTATTTCTAGTTTGTCCTCACATGGAGGGTTTGGCTCTTTGGAATCTAGTCCTAATGGGGGGAGAAATTCCTGTTAGACTCTCTACCTTAGCCAGGCCCTGGGCTGTGTTTCCTGCTCCCCAGGCCTCATGAGACCATTAAAACCTATGCTCAGACTCACCCAAGTTTGCAAATGTCTTCAGAGAAAAAGCTAGCTTCAGTAATCTGTTTATATCTCTGAATTCCCATATTTATTTAGCTTTTTACTGAAGAATTACTTTATTGACAGATTATCGATACACTTAAGATTTTGTCATTCAGCACGTTTAGTAATTTTTTGATGGAAAGAGGAAGCCAAGGAGGGCCCAATGTAGTCTACCATATTATCCTGTCTTCTGATAGTTTTTACAAGTGCAAAGCCCACGTCATCACCAAGTGGTGACCTCCCAGTAGAGGATGGATATTAGACTTACCTTTCATTCTATTCTAAAAGTAAAGCAACCTCATTAAAGTAAGTTGAAAAATATAGAAAAGTTTGACTCGAAGATTAGAAATATTTGGATATATTTCTATACAAAATATATCCATGTTACCAACTTGGTTTATTTCCTGCCAGTCTTTTTTCCCTCTAAATAGAAATTTTTATATTAATTATGAGATTAACGAGAGAAATGGTTAATTAAATGTGAAGGAATATTCAGCAGCTATTAAAAGCAATAGTTTATAAATATTATGTGATAATATGAAGAAATTCCTTTAATGTAATGCTAAGCTGGGAAAAACTACAGAGAACAACTGGATGGGGGACCACTCATTCTAGGCATCAGCAAGAGTCAGTCATGTTGTTTGGGACACCACAGCCCAGCAGCAGAAACTCTGTAAGAGTATGTTGACTGACTGACTAACAGTAGGGGCCTCCAACCCCAGACATCTCTGGAACAGCAAGTAGAGGGATCCTGTTTTCTTACCCTTTATAAAGACAACAAAAGAATTAATAGAGAACGACTCCATTCATGCCCTCTAATGAGAATTATACACAATTTGTTTACAGTTTAACATAAGCTTAATTACGGACAACAAACTGCTATCTAAGGGGATTCTAATAGTCATTTCTAAACTCTCCCCCTCCCACCCCACCGGAACCAGTGGAAATTGTTAGCCAAGTGCAATTAAGGCAAGAGGCAGCGCCTGGTCTTTTTGCTCAAGTGTCCCTCAAGTGACCCTCACTGTCTCCAGTTGCACCCCACAGGCTCTGTGGCGTGGTGGGTGGCTGTGATCCTGTGTCAGGGCCCTACTCCAGCCTCTGCTCTTGCACTTATCCAGAGTCTACTGTGAGGATGGAAACTTTTATCAATCACGTTGCTAAGGAAACTGCCTTCTCCCAATATTCTCCACAAAAGGGCTCTGTCCAGTGATTAACACTTGGTTTTTATTTGTGTTGTCAGCTGCCTCTGTCCAGCCCCACAGAACTGGTGTTTTAAGCTCTGCTTCCAGTATGAGGAGAATGAGTTCCAGATTAGGTTTAAAGTGAACATGGACCCCCCCATCACATGGAGAAGCAGATGTGGAACTTCCTGTATAAGAGCATTAAACCTCCTCCCTGAGGACTTACTCACTGCTGTGTGGGAGCCAGAACTGTCACTGCTCTGTTCTGCTCAGCAGGGCAGCCTGGCACCTAGGGCAGAGCCTGGCTCTTAGCAGGTGCTTCATAAACACCCCATGACAGCCAAGCCCAGACATTTCTTTCTAACAAATTGGAGAACCATACAAATGTATTTTTTAAGTGTTTATACATCTTCGTACACGGTGCTTTCACTGTCTTGTAGGACTTAGCACATTTGAGTTTACAATGAAGACTTTTTGGGTCTTTGCCTTGTCTCTGTAACTAAACCATTAGTCCACGAGGGCAGGAGTCCACATACCTCTCTCCATACACCTCACAGGCTAGCACGGTGTCACGTACATACATGGCTGGTGTTCAATAAGATGGGCAGTTTGGTTGGTCAATTAAATAAACATATGAATGCTGAGTCCATAAAATCACAGATACCTACCATTTCAGAGCTGGTGGGGGCAACAGATGGTGTCCACAGCCCCGAGATGAGAAATGCCCCAACAGGCGAGTAGCCAGTACCTCTCAAATGCAGGGGCCATGGCCCCGCTGCAGGAGACTAGCCTCTCTTGGCTCAAAAGTGGACTGTTCTTGCATATTTGTCAGCTCCATCCCACAAAGCATAGGCCCACATTCAGGATGCCTGTGGCTACAGAGCAGAGTACATGTGGCAAGACCATCGGCCTAGAGTAAGACCCCTGACTTTGCCACAATCAGTGAAGCACACTGATATGTAGGGACCATAGAGGACTGGTCATATTTCTGGCTAACTGAGGACACAGGAAGGAAGGTCTCTGCAAGCAGCTTCCAGGGAGCACCCCAAAATAGTGGAATGAGCTGCTTGTGCTTTTCCCAGACCTTTGCTTTCTGGCCAGGACTTGAGATGAAAGATGATAGAACAGCCACCAGGACCAAACACATTCTGTTTCTCTGCAGCTGCGGGTCTTCAAGCTGGCCAAGTCCTGGCCAACCTTAAACACGCTCATCAAGATCATCGGAAACTCAGTGGGGGCTCTGGGGAACCTCACTATCATCCTGGCCATTATTGTCTTTGTCTTCGCTCTGGTTGGCAAGCAGCTCCTCGGGGACAGCTACTGTGACAAGAGGCACATTATCTCTGCACCCAATGAGGAATGGCCACGCTGGCACATGTATGACTTCTTCCACTCCTTCCTTATCGTCTTCCGCATCCTCTGTGGAGAGTGGATTGAGAACATGTGGGCCTGCATGGAAGTCGGCCAGAAATCCATATGCCTCATCCTTTTCCTGTCGGTGATGCTGCTGGGGAACCTGGTGGTGAGTGCTGACCCTCACCGGGAGCACTGTTTTCGGGGCAATGGAGGAGACTCCTGGGTTATCCTAAACGACTCTGTCACGGCACATTTTTATGCCCACATTGTACCTCCCTGACTGAAACATCTTCAACCTTTTCAAAGTCATGAGGGCTACATTATAAGAACTGTCCCCTGGGAGGCATCCTGACTTGCTAGAGTGAGCACATAGGACAGAGAAGGAAACACCTGGTTTAGAATCCCAGCTCCACCACTAGTAAAGCTGGGTGACCCAGTGCAAGAGACAGTTTCTCCGAGCTTTAATTTCCTTCAAATCAAGCAGATAGTGCTTACTCATGGGCTTACTGCAAGAATTAAATTACAGGAGATGACATATGCAAATTGCCCAGTGCAGTGTCTGGGCTATGGCAGGAACTCAATAAATGCTAGCTGTTAGTTGTTGAAGGAAAAATTTCCTTCCCCGTTCCAGGGGGTCTTTGAAGATATTTTCCTTCAAGGGAGTAAGAGCTGACTGATTTCTCCAAGCTACACAGGTCCTAGCTAGCAGCAGGAGGGCATGCACAATGGGACAAGATGAAAGAGAGAAGCTGGGTCATGCACAACATCCAGCACCACAATGACAATAACAGAATCCACTCCAAGGTTTGGGGGGAGCCCTTCTGGAGCCGCTCCTGCCAGTTGGCCCAGCACTCCTTCTCTGTCCCAGCCAGGCTCCTTGCCCTCAGCTTGTCTCCACCCACAGCAATTCTGGGTGCCCTTGGTCTCCCAGCACTGCCTGCCTGTCTTCTAGGAGACCCCTTCTCATTGCCCTGGAAGTCACCCAATTTAGATTCTTTTCCCATAAAAGTTTTTACAGACAAGAGAAAGCTAAACCAAGAAAGGGATGAAAACACAAATCCAGACTCTTCAGAAGTCTTTCCCACCAGGTTCCCTGAGCCAGAGACACCTTCTGTCCGCATCCCCAAGTGGCAGGCTGGCCAAAGCTCCTCTCTTCCAGGCTGAGCTCCCCATCCCTGCAGAGCCACAAGGGCCCCTAAGCCTCAGGCAGGAAGTCTGCCTCTCTGAGCAATTTTACATCCCTCGTGTCATGTCCTCTTCACAACCACTCCAAAAGGTCGGGAGTCCCCATTTCCTCCTTACAGGTGAAGAACGTGAAGTTGGAAGCAGTGAGGAGATGTGCCCAGCATTCCAGAGTGAACCCAGGGCTTTGGCACATGAGGCTGGTCCTAGGGCAGGCCCTGTCTGCTCTTATATATTGTCCCTGAATGTCCCTTCACTCAGCAGGGGTGATCCTCCTCTCTGGGGGAGAATGTGCTTCCAGGCCTTGTCCACATGAGGCAGGACACTTGGGACATCCTCAAGGCTCCTCCCAATTACTCTCAGAATGCCCATTCCCCCAAGAGGGAAAGCATCCTGGGAAGGCAGGGGGAAGCCCAGGTGTGGCCGTCCTGGTACCCAGCTGTCAGCCTCCTGGGCCATGGGGGCTCAGCTCAGTGACTGAGGGATCTTCCTGTTCTAATTTTCCTCTCCAGGTGCTCAACTTGTTCATTGCCCTGCTGCTGAACTCCTTCAGCGCTGACAACCTCATGGCCCCAGAGGACGACGGGGAGGTGAACAACCTGCAGGCGGCCCTGGCACGGATCCAGGCGTTTGGCCGTCGCACCAGGAAGGCCCTTTGCAGCTTCTTCAGCAGGCCCTGCCTGCTCTCCCGGTTCAAGGCAGAGCCCCAGCTCGTGGTGAAACTCCCACTGTCCAGCCCCAAAGCCGAGAACCACATTGCTGCCAACACAGCCATGGGGAGCCCTGCAGGGGTCCCAGCTCTCACAGGCCCCAGGGATGACCACAGTGACTTCATCACCAATCCTAATGTGTGGGTCTCTGTGCCCATTGCCGAGGGTGAATCTGACCTGGAGGACTTGGAGGAGGATGGTGAGGAGGATGCTCGGAGCTCCGGGGAGGAAGCGAGCCCCCAAGGGCAGGTGAGAGTTGTCCCATGGGACAGCCACAGGAAGCAGGGAGGGGTCTCAGGGCTGGAGGGATCGGGAGCAGAAGGGAAATTATGATAAGAGGTTTTCCAACATCAGGGCTGGCACAGCCTTGAAGAGCCCTGGGAAAGCCAGGCAGAGGAGCCCTTGACGTGAGGAAGCATAAGCCATGCCAGGCTTTCCAGAGGAGGCAGCATCTGGGCAGAGCCTGGAAGAAAGAATCAGAATTCCCCTAGGCAGGCAGGGCGCAGGGGTGGCGTGTGCACCTCAGGCCACTTTGAGGTGCCTGGATTGTCTTTCACACAGCTGCCCTTCATCCGCCCAAACCAGGCTCTGTGCTGAGATGCTAATGAGATTCCTTTAAGAACAGGATGTTGTCCAAGAGCAAGGCCGGTCTAATCTTCACCAGAAGCCTAAGGAGTCTTGATCATTATGTGACTCATTTATCCAGCTTTTCCTGACAGGGTTGTCGCAGGAAAATGACACCTGTTCCTTTTGACACCAAAGAATTTAAAGCACACTTAAGCCTTTTGGTAATATATATTTGTAAACATTTTGCACAGTTCCCTACTACCTTGAGCTCGTAGATCAACCCTCGTTAACCTCTTCTCAATGACTCGGGGCACGCGCTTCTGCACAATGTGGGAAGGCAGGGATTCCTGTGGGGCCTGGGGACACACAGGGCCGCTGGCCAGGCCACTAAGTGGCCTCAGACAGCTGTGCTTTGAGTCTGTAGTTCTTCCATAGCCTTCGTCCCCTGCAGCTGTCACTTCTCTTGTGTTCCAGCAGCTGCTGTTATCAGCTGCCATATTTTACATGCCTTTGTCTGGGTGACAGCCTAGGGCAGACCGTCACCATCCCCAGAGTAAAGGACATGAACTCTGTGACGGCTGTCTCCACTCACAGGCATTTTTAGTTACTTTGGGATTCTCGGAGGACTCCAGATGGCCAAGTCCGCTACCAGTGTGACCTCTAGACAAGTAATAATGGTCATGGCTAATGTCTATTGAGCCAAGTACTTCATGCAAAGTGTTTTACAAGCATCAACATATTCAGTCATCAAAATAACCAAATGAAGTTGATCTTACCTTCTCAATTTTGCAGATGGGAAAAATGAAGATCAGAGAGGTTAAATAACTTGCCTAAGGTCACACAGTTCATACATAATGCAGCCAAGAGTTAAACATCTATCTGACCATAGCATCTCCGTACTCACTTCACACAAGTGTGTGTATGTGTGCATATATAAATGTGTATTAGTTGCATATATTAGGTCCTCAGCTCTGGCAGACCATGAGGTACAAGATCTCTTCAAATTTAGAAGTGGCCAGCTGTGGGTGGGCACAGGGACCCAGCTGGGACCTCCTCTCACTTTCAGGAGCAGTTGCAGCAAGTCGGGCAGTGTGAGGACCACCTGGCACCCAGGAGCCCAGGCTCTGGAATGTCCTCTGAGGACCTGGCTCCCTACCTGGGTGAGAAGTGGAAAGACGAGGCTGCTGCTCAGGCCACTGCAGAGGTGGGTATGTGAGCTTGCTAGAGAGGTTGAACAGCCTGCCGGACACTGTCCCGTGCGACTGTGGGAGCTGGAGGAGGGGGTCTCCAGACTATCGCATAACCTCATGTCTCCTTCTGGGAATTTTCAAAGTCCCTCCTAACCTCTGGGCCAGTCAGTGTGATTTCAGCGGGAAGAGTGAGGTTCCACAAGCTGGCGGGGGGGACCAGTTGCTCCACCTCTCTGAGCCTCGGTGTCTTCATCTGTGAAACTGAATGGTAATGCCTACCTGTTAGGATTCTTTGGAAGCTTAAATGAGATGCTGTTTGTCAAGTGTTTAGCTCCTGCCTGAAATGGAATAAATGCCCAGAAAATGACAGCCAAGAAAAAAGGAAACAAAGGACGTTGCCCAGGGAGAGTTAAGTTATCTTTCCAAGCCCGCAGATGAAAGTGGGTGTGGCCTGTGGTTGAGGAAGTCTTCTCTGTGACCCGCACCCCCGGCTTTCTTTTGTCGGCATCATTTTCTCAAACCAAAAACATTCTGGTGCTCTGGAGAGGCTGTCTGTAGTGAGTGGTGTCCTGACAGCCTTACGCAGACGGAGCAGGAACAAGAATCAGGGTTTAGGAATGTCTTATAGAGGTAAAAATAAACTTGGTGGTTTCATTACAAACCTTTAAAGAAAACAAGCTGTAGGGAAAGAGGTGTCTGTAAAGATTTAGCGTCTTTAATAGCGCTGTATGAAACTCAGGGATTTCACTTCACACCTAGCCACTCAGCGCTGACACTGGAACAGGCACTGGGCTGGGCAAAGATAAGGGAGACATCATTCATCCCCAAGTTATCAAGCCCTTCAGCCTGAGGAATGTCAGCTACTGGCTGTGTGCCCCTGGGCCAGGCTGACCCCAGCAGGGTAAGATAAGAGGGTGGGCTGAGATGGGATTTGGGGGCCCTGAGTAAACACAGCCGCTTGGTTCTGGCTGGGTGAGGGTTGCTACCTTCTACACGTGGATGTCGTTTTTCCTGCTGAGATGCTAAGGGCTCCCCTGGCTAGTTTTTTCTACTCAATGTTTTCAGCACACCACTGCTGGGTATTGGTTTTGTTTTTGTTTTTGTTTTTTTGTCCACAACCCTGGCCAGGCAGGGAGGGGCCTGACAGTGACAGATGGGGACCCACCCACCATTTGGGTCCATTAGCCAAGCTATCAGGTTTACTAATGTGAGAGCAGCTTCAACTCCTAATTGAATTCATCTGGAGACATTATAGGGCTGGAGCTGCCAGGAGGGCAGCAGGGCCCCCACAGCATTGCTCCATGATTAAATATTCAAGCCCAGTGAATGCTGAGAGTCTTTATGGGTGTAATTATGGTGTCTCGGGCCATCGCCAGCACTCCATCAGGGGCCTGGAGGTTTAAAGCCTTGCACAGCTAAACCTCTGAGGCTCCGCAGAGAGCATCACTGCTCCAGGCCTCGGCTGGAGAGGCACCAAACACGCAAGGGACGCCGTCGGGGGGGCCAGCCTCAGGGGCTCTCCCTGCATCTCGGGGCTCTTGGTCAGTGAGACCTGCAGTGACTGTGTGCAGAGTCACTGACCCCTCAGAAAGCTGAGTTCACTGCCCTGGGCTTCTGCCCTGCAGGGAGTGGATGACACGAGCTCCTCAGAAGGCAGCACAGTGGACTTCCCAGACCCTGAGGAGATCCTGAGGAAGATCCCTGAGCTGGCGGATGACCTTGAAGAGCCAGATGACTGCTTCACAGAAGGTAAAGTGGCAGCCCCAGGCCTCCTCACACTGATGTTAATTGGGCCAGAATCCGGTTCAGCAAGCAACCATCTGGCACCTCTGTGTCCAGGGCCCTGGCAGGGGGTCCACAAGAGACAGACAAACAGGGCCCCTTGCTGCCTCACTCCCGCTTGAAGGGCCAGCATCAAACACAAATGCCACAACTCGCAGCAGCCTACTGGTGGGATCTGCATCTTGTGCCACGTCAGACATGACAAAGGATGCTGTGCCTTCCTCATCACCCTCAAAAACACCTCCCTGAGGTATAAACCAGCCCTCTTGAGGTTGAAAAGAGAAAACATGGTCACCACCATAAACGCTCTCCATCGGGGACATAAAGGACTCAGAGGAGGGCCATGACGTATCTGTGCCCCTCAGTCCTTTGTGTACCTCTGACAGGCAGAACTGTGTCTTACTCTTCCTTTTCCTCAATGTTTAGAACTGCAAGGCACATTATGTTCTCAACAGATCTTTGTGTAATAAATGAATAAACACGTAACTCATACTATGAAAGTAATTGTGGCCTCAATAATAAAAAATTAAAATTAAAAAAAAGAAAACACTTCATTGAGTTTCCAGTTGCACATGACCCTGGGCTGGGCTGGACCCAGGCCCCATCCCAGTCATGTTCAGCATGGGTTCAAGACGTAGCCCCTCAGACATCCCCAGGCCCAGGCCCGATGGCCTGTCAGGCTTCCAGAGATGAGTGGACATAAGGACAGGGACCACTAATATGATCTTTAAGAAGGAAGATGGTTGGGGAGGAGATGACTGGCAAGATCTATGGTGGAGAGGAACACCTGAAGCGCAGGACTGAGTCACTGCCTAAAAGGAACCCTGCTTCTCTCATATTCCAGGAGAGAATTCCTTTCCAAAGGGGTGGCAAGTGGGTTTCCCAGCAGAGTGGTTTTCCTACAGGGCTAGGGCAAAAATGCTCCTCCTTTTTCAGGAGAACATCACTCACCATCAGTCACCTCTCCCCACAGGCTGCATTCGCCACTGTCCCTGCTGCAAAGTGAACACCTCCAAGTCTCCATGGGCCACCGGCTGGCAGGTGCGCAAGGCCTGCTACCGCATCGTGGAGCACAGCTGGTTTGAGAGCTTCATCATCTTCATGATCCTGCTCAGCAGCGGGTCTCTGGTAAGGGAAGGTGGGGTCCCTGCCCCAAACCCACCATCCAAAGGCGCTGGAGCTGCATCAGGGGGCTCCCCTGATTCCTGGGCTGAAAGTTCCCAACCTGTGGCTGGAAGGAGAGCTGCCGCCCAGCACGGGCTCCTCTTAGCAGCAGGGTATGGCAGGTGCTTGAGGTGTCCGTGTCATGGCCTGCTAGACCTAGCTGCAAGTATTTCAAGCAATGAGTGTATGCACCCCACTTTATAGACAGGAAAACTGACACTCAAAGGGCTTAAGGAACTTGTCCAAGGTTACCCGGCTTGTCAGTAGCCAAACCTAACTTTGCCCTCATTTGACCCCAAAGCCCCTGACTTCCCACTCTGGCTTCCCAAACACACTGGCCTTCTCCGAAGGCCCAGTGCACACAGGACCATCCTTCCCTCTCCTATCAAGCCTCTTGCAAATACTATTACTTATTCAAATCAAATCATACCGTTACTCACAGCAAATCATTACAACAGCACCTCTCAAAATTGAATCACCTGGGGAGCTTGTTAAGCTGCAGATTCTAATTCAGTAGATCTGGGGTGGGCCCTGAGAATTTGCATTTCCAACAATCTCCCAGGTGATGCTGATGCTGCTGGTCCATAGACCACATATGAATAATGAGGTCTTACAGGCATAGAGATTCTGAGTTAGGAGACACTTCCTAACCCCTTGCTGAAGGCCTGGCTTTGGAGGATGAGGAAGGATGCTTCTCTCCATACCACGGCTTAGGCACAATCTCAACCGATCTTCCCAGTGGACCTAGGTAGACATAGACATAGGAAGGGACTCATCATTCCCAGCTGTTCACATTTTCCAGATGAGGAAGTCACAGCCCAAAGACATGAGAGGACCTTCCTGGGGTCCCAGCTAATTAGTTAAAGGGCTGAGACTAGAGCCCCACTCTCCTGACACATGGCTCCAAGTGTTTTCACTTGTCTTACCCATCAGGTGTCATTTACTCCTGAAAACAATCTACTGAATATCTGGGCACCCACTTAAATGCCAGATTTCCCAGGAAGGTGCCAACACTGCTCAGAGTATGGCCTCCGCCTTAGAGGGGAGCAAAGGCAGGTGAGAAGGCATGATCTGAGAGGTAGGAGGAAAACCAGGCCAGCAATGGCTTTGTGCTGAGGGAGAAGAGAGTTTCCAGGAGCTGGGCTGCTCTGCCATCTTGGGTGAGTGGAGAGGGTGTGGCAGCCTCTGAAGGCGCCCGTTGCCCCGACCCAGAGAAATGATTCCACCTGGAATGGCAGTCTCAGGACAGTGCTGGGTGCAGAGGCCACCATGCAGGGCAAGAGGAGGCTGGGCAGTGCTTTCTCCACACCTACCCTTCCCTCCTTCCTGTCCTCCTGGATGAAAATAATAACCCCATTGCTGCTGACAAGGCACTTTCCTCGTTACCCCGCTGGCTCCAGCCTTTCCCCATGGGCCTTCTCTCCCCATTTCTCTTCTGCCCTCTCCCTTGCCCGTTCCCTTCTCTCTAGACCACTTCTCCACACACCCAGCTGCTCCCCCTTCCTCCCAGCAGGGTGCTCACATCCTGTGCCAGCTGCTGGCCCCACCCAGCCACTCTCCCCTCTCCCCCTCATCTCCTTCCCCAAGGGACTAAACAGGCTGGCACCAAATTTAGTCTTCCTTATGCTTTCACTTTGAGTGCTTTTAAAAAAATAACATGAGTTTTCATCTGACAAAGTAAAGTGCAAAAAAAAAAAGCTCGGAAATTATGGGAAAATGCAAAGAAAAAATATCACCCATTTTCCTATCACTCAAAGAGAATCTCACTTTGAAAACATTTTGGTATACTTCCTTCCCATCTTTCTTATGCATAGGTTACATAAATATTACAAAACTGAAACCACATTTATGCATTCTGTAATTTCTCAGTAAATATGCTCCTCCTAGCTCATTTAAGGACTGTGTTCCATTACAGGAATGTGCCATAATTTATTTAACTCATCCCTGTGCTTACTTCTAATAAGCACTGAGCATCCTTAAGCACACTCTTTTGGAGACATTGGCTTATTTCCTGTCTTAGGTCTAGTCATAGAGGCAGAATCGGAAGCAGAGATTCTTGTGAAGTTTGTGGAGGGAGCGCTCCAAGGTGGAGCCTGTGAGGGAAGCAGGACTGAACAGGGAAAGGAGCTGGGAAAAGACATGGGTTCCGATGAAGTCCAGCCTCAGTCTGATCCCTCTGGAGCTCTGAAGCATAAAGGACGCCCCAGAGCTCTCCCACCTTGAGGCCTTTTAAACCCTTAGTCAGTCACTGGCTGAGCGCTGCCCCCAGAGTGGGGATAGAACCCCCAAAGGTGGAGGCAGGTCCCTTCAGCCCAGGGAAGTCCTCAGGAAAGGGGTACGTTTGCAAGCTGTTCACAGCCAACATTCATGGCAGCTGGCCCCTCAAACAGGATCTAGGTGGGGCACCAACAACATCTAGTGTCCTTAGGATAAATTCTTAAAGGTAGAATTGCTGGATTGCTGGGTTTCTAAAAGCTTTGAGTCATATTACCAAATTAGATTCCCAAAAGACCGAACTAGTTTTCGCTCCCACAGGCCACGTATGAAAGAAGCCGCTTCCCCATAGGCATATTAACACTGGGACCCCTCACCCCCTGCCACCCATGCTTTTCCATCTTCACCAACCTAATAAAAAAAAAAAAAAAAAGACATCTTCTTTTCATTTGAATTTCCTTGATTACCAGTGAGACAGAACATTCTTTTTCAGAGGTCATTGGCGATTCTTATTTTCATTTTTGTGAACTGCTTGTGAACATCCTTTGATGCTTTTATTTTTAAACCAAGTCACTGTTAGCATCCCTTTGGTTCACTTCCAAAATCCAATTCGAGAAGGTTTCCTTTCTCACTTGCATTCAGCTGCCCTGCAAAGATGAGCAGAGCTGTGTGTCCCCGTGGGCTCTGGGGCAGTCATGGTTTGTATCTCACAGTGCCTCCTCACTCTCACACCTTCCGTCCCCAGAGCAGAAAAAACAACGTGATACAAGCTAGCTGGTTACCAAAGCCCTCCCAGGGGCGGAGGGCAGGGCTGGCTGGATCCTTCCCTGTCCCTGAGCCCCAAAGCTGTGGGTCCAGGCAGCCTGCCATCCCGCTTCCTTCCTTTCAGGCCTTTGAAGACTATTACCTTGACCAGAAGCCCACGGTGAAGGCCATGCTGGAGTACACGGACAGGGTGTTCACATTTATCTTTGTGTTTGAGATGCTGCTCAAGTGGGTGGCCTATGGCTTCAAAAATTACTTCACCAATGCCTGGTGTTGGCTGGACTTCCTCATTGTGAACGTGAGTGGCTCAGTGGGCACACGTGGGGTTTGGGATCCTCACCTCTGACTGATGGCTGCAGCTAGTGCACAGGGAGCTTGGAGGCCTGGTCCTTAAGGGCTACTCCAAAGAAAAGTCTTGAGCACTTAGCAAGGAGTCTGAGACTAGCCCTGCACACCTGTGAGTGGTAAGATGCGAGCAGTACATGATTCTGACATAATGATGACCCTTGGGGGAGTCCCAAGTTCCTAGGTCTCCAGCCAGAAAGACTACTTACTGCCCTCTGTATTTACATCCAAAGCAAGATGCCACCTGAGGCTTTCAATGGTCTTATGACCTTGCTTCCACTCACGGTGCTTTTGGACCTAAGGGAGCTGAGGATGGCAGAGCACAGAGAATCTGCCCACCTGCTGACTCGCTGGTCCTCAGCCCTGGCTGCACTGTGGATTCACCTGGGGAGCTCTTAAAAATACAAGGAACAAACACTACTATTCCCAGAGATTCAGATATGACTGGTCCTGAGTGGAGTCCAGGCATTAGTATTCTGTAAAAGCTCAGGGGTATGTCCAATGTGCAGCCAAGATTGAGAACCACTGACCTTACACGGCTGGCTTCTCCCCAGTGGTACTAACATGGACAGAGGGTCCTTTGGAAAGGTGATGACCTGAAGCTCGTGTGTTCGGACCCACCCTGACCTGTGGCCACCAGCTTGTCCATGAAGAGGTTTACCCAGTGCCTCCTGCACATTAGACTTGTGATTCCTTAAAGCTGTGAGGAAACCCTCTCCATAAAGTCTCCTAGGAGCATTCCTAGCCCCTAAAAGCCAGGAGTGATCTCCCCCTCATCTTAACCACTACCCTCTATCTCTGTCCAGGCCTTTGCCCTCTTGGCTTTGCAAGATGGCTGCCTGAGTTATTTGTTCACTGCTGTACAGTTGAGGGTCCCTGCAGGCAGGGGGAGGCACATGCTGTGTTTGTCTCCGCCTCGCACACTCCAGCAGCCACCAGCACCAAAGCTACACATCAGAGGTGTCAGAAGATGTGTCTGTATTTGGTGCTTGTCCCCTGAAGCTAGATGGGTCCAGTACAGGACATTCTGTCCATCTCCCGTGTTGGCAGGTCCTCCACAACAGGTCTGTGCACTCGATTCTCTTCTTTCCTGATACCAACGTGCTAGCAGCAACAGGCCACTGCACCACAGGGATTAACTGTGAGGCCTGAAATCTGAGTCACAGGTGATAATTTTGTGCATATATCATATTCATAAATGAAGGGAAAATGTTATAATCTGGCTACCGACCTCTCTGGCGGGCACAGTCACTACTATCTACGTAGGTCTCACTAGGTTCAGTCCTGATCACCTTAAATGGGCACTCACTCATTCCATCCATCCTCCTACTAATTCTTTCCTCTGACCATCCATCCTTCCTTCCATACATTCCTCCTCCTATCATCTAACCATTCACCCTTCCTTTTTCCTTCCTTCCAAACATCCATTCATCTTTACTTCTTCCATTTATCCTCTCTGTCAATCCTCTTCCATCCATCCGTTCTCATTCTTCTTTCCTTCTTCCCTTCTACCCATACATTCAGCCTCACCTTCCTTCTGTCCATTTATCAACTGGTCCTTGACCCTTCTATCTTTCTATCTTTTGATTCATCCTTCTGTCTAACTATTCAGTTGTCAAACCTTCTATTCACTCATTCATGCACCTTCCATCCAAGCATTCTTCTATCCACTCATTCTTCCATCTTTCTGTTTTTCCTTTAACCTGTTCATCTATCCTTCATTTCTTCCACTCATCTGTCCATTCATCCATTTTCCTTCCATTCATCCATCAATCCAGTCATCCATCCAATCAACTTTCCATTCATTCTCTAATCTCTTCCATTCATCTGTCCATCCAACTCTATCTTTCCATTCATCCATCAGCCATTTTATACAGCCATCCATCCTTCCCTCACCCATCCACTATTCCATGCTTCCATATTTTATCCTTTCTTCTTTGCTTTCTTTCTTTCATCCTTCCTTTCAACTATCTAGTCTATCCATCTTTGTATTCTTTAATCCACTCTTCTATCCAACCGTCCTTCAACCTTGCATCCAGATGTTCTTCCTTCTTTCTTTCCTTCCTTCCATCCACCCAACATGCTTCTATCTTTTCTTCAGTTTATCAAATGTTTACTTATAACTACTGAATATAAATTATCTTATGATGTGCTCTGGGAGAGATAGAAGCCACAAAATAAATTGTCCCTATCTCCAGGAGTTTACACTTTAATCTTCCGGCAGGTAAGACACACAGAGAGAAATAAACATATTATAAGGGGAGATGTGGTGAGCACTGCTGGAAATAAGTAGTGTCTTAAGGACACAGAGACATGACTCTGCTTTCATTCCTCTATAGGACGTGGCATTAGACATAGGGCATACAATGAGCAAGAGTAGTGAGATGCAAAGAGGACTGGAGGAGGCCAATCTTAATTAAAAGATGACCCTGAGCAAAGGCAAAGACACAGACACATTTAAGGAACAGTTTGATTTGGGTAGAACATATGGGTGAAATATGACTGGAAATGCAGGCTGTGGCCATATAATACAGGCTAAAGAGTCTGGAGCTTATCCTGAGGATGATAAAGCACTAGAGAAGGTTAGGAGTAAGAGAGAGACACGATTGTAATCAAATTTGCAGTCGGATGGATGCACTACTGAGGCCTAGAGACCAGTTGGGCAGCTAGTGGCCTGAGCAGTGGGAGCGGAGCTGGGCTTGGGTGGGAGGGCTTTGATGGAGAGGCGCCAGCTCCTGACTGTCCCAACTGCAGATTTTGCACATGAGGCAGCCTTCCCAGTGGACAGAGAAAAAGACTGAATAGTGTTCAGGAGGGAACTGGCCCCAAATCTCCCTGCCTTCAGTCAGCCAGACACCTACTGGTGTCTAGAGCCTTGCATGGATGGAGGAAGGGGGGTCCTTTCCATTCCAGTTCTTTGTCATGGTAGAATACACTACCCATTTAGAGAACAGGCATTGTTTGAGGCTCTTGCACCCAAGTGTAAACCCCTCCCTTTCAGAAGTTCTGGTGTACATCTCTACCTAGCTGCCCGGATAAGCTAAGCCTGAATTCAGCCCACCAGTCATGGTGCAGTTGGGGTCTCACAGGATAGGGTCACAGTCTCTGGCAAGCTCAAGCCTGTGCATATGGTATCTCCCTGCCACCTGCAAAGTTCCCGGAAGGTGTGACCCTTCTTCCATCAGTTTGTATCCATTTCAGTCCTTGGTCCAACATTTTAAAAAAGTGAAAAACCAACAGAGCAACAGGGACTCACAACTCAGTCGCTATATCTCAGCTTTCTGTCAAAGCTGGATCTCATGGGCCCATGCCAGTCCCTCTCACTGAAGAACTGCAGAGCTGTAAGGACCTTGGAATTCTCTTGGTCTGACTCTCATTTTACAAAGGGTGAAAGTGCAACCTGGACTACAAGGCACTGACCCAAGGTCACAAAAAATCAGGGGTTGAGAGGGAACTAGACCCCACCCAGGCCAGGACTCTTTCCACCCCACTTTTCTGAGGACATGCAATTGAGACTCACGTTATATTCCTCAAAAAAGACTTTCAGCATAACCTCCATGAGGGAGCATCATCTCTCCAAGTCTCTGAAAGTCAAAGTTTCAAGGCCGTTGGGGCTGGCTGGTGCCCTTGAGGGGAAAGGGAAGCTTGATTTAACACACTGTGAGCTTGACCACCTACATACCAGGGGCTGGCAATGTGGGAGACTGAGTTTTTCTCGCCTGGAGGTTCAGATAAGTGATGAATTAAATCTTTAATAGAAGAGAAGGGATTTGATTCTCTCTAGACCTCTCATAGGAATTCAGAATAAGGTGGGAGCCAAGACAAGGGCTTAGACAGAGTAGGGGGTGGGAGGGATTTCCTGTGTCCTTTCACCAGGACCACCTTTCCGGGACCCTAGAGTAATGCTTTTGCTCTCTGCCTGCACTCAGATCTCACTGACAAGCCTTATAGCGAAGATCCTGCAGTATTCCGATATGGCATCCATCAAAGCCCTTCGGACCCTCCGTGCCCTGCGGCCACTGCGTGCTCTGTCTCGATTTGAAGGCATGCGGGTAAGCCCTATCTCTAAACCACTCTGGTCTGCAGCATTTGGTACCCCTCTCCCTGTTACACCCTCCACACCACTGATCATGAGCTTGGGCCCCAACCCCACAGTTTGGCTCTTGGGTCCTCACTTCCTGCCCAGACACTGGTGGTGCTGCAGTGTCCTCACTCTCCTAGTTCTCGTTCTACTCCCCTTGTGAGGCCCTCTTCCCTTCTCACCTCAACTATCACATCTACCAGGGCTCAGACCTCTCTCTCTCCTGCTTCGGTGAAGTGATCCTGCTTCATGGCTCCACAAGCATCTCTTACCTCAATCTCCCCACCCTGCCTCTTGTCTTTATTGCCAAAATATCTGGAACATCCCAAGTTCTTCATCCTTCCATGACAAATGAGCCTTTCTTCTGACTCTCCATTTAAATGTAGTAACATCATCAGCTCAGCACCTCAGACATCAACGACTGAAATGCATCTTCTCCCCAAGCTAACGCAGTCATTGGGTCCTATGGATTTTTCCCTTTCATCCATCCCTTCCTCATCCATCGATATCAGCCTCACCTTGCCCTCACTGTCTTCCTCAGGATGGAATGCTCACAAGCCTGGAACTTGTCTTATGGGGGGATGAGAGACTACTAATTCCTCCCCCGCCCCATAATTACAGAAGTCTCCTGGTACAGAAAGTGAGGTTTTGCTTTCTTCCTCCACCATTGACTCAAAGACATCATGTCTTCAAAAAACAAACGTGGGCTTTTAAAATTAACGTGTACCTTTACAAACGGTAGGAGCTTATGATTGAAATAGTTTGATATTTATTTTATCTCCATGTTGCTCATTTACAAATAAGCACGTTTGTGAATGTGGATTTAAGTTTTCACTGATTCTTGACCAAAGCTTGCTGTGAACTATATTTTGTGTGTTGTATTTAAGGAAAATAAAGCAGGGTTCTAAAATTCTGTATGTGCAAGCACAGCATACATACTCACACTTCTAAATGAGCATGTGTGTACTTGTAAATTCATCCATCTCCTCAGTCCTGAGGAAAGTCACAGAAACCTGCCCTGAATGAAATTTAGAGAGAAGGTATAAACCGATCTTCAGCTGCCCATTGTCTTTCAGTTTTCTGAGTCTGAATTATTGCACTAATTAACCTACTTCTCTTGCTTCCAAAGGCCACTGGCTCATGAAGCAGCCTGATTGAGTGTAGAAAGAAGTGGGATCCAGCAAGGAGGGGTGGGGCATTTGTGGGGTTCCAGGTCCTTTTGCATCTCCCCCCAGGTGGTGGTGGATGCCCTGCTGGGCGCCATCCCATCCATCATGAACGTCCTCCTCGTCTGCCTCATCTTCTGGCTCATCTTCAGCATCATGGGCGTGAACCTCTTTGCAGGGAAGTTTAAGAAGTGCATCAACACCACCAATGAAGAATTTTCTCTTGTGCCTTTGTCTATCGTGAATAACAAATCTGACTGTGAACGTCAAAACTACACCGGCAACTTCTTTTGGGTCAATGTGAAGGTCAACTTTGATAATGTTGCAATGGGTTACCTTGCACTTCTGCAGGTGGTGAGTCCTGAGATCAACCATCTCTTTCTTTGGGTGCTCAATAACATGGAGTGTCTGGGGTCTCCCAGAGATGCTTTGTAAAGACTGAAAAGGGTAGCACTCAGTGTGAGTTGAGGTCATTTCCTATTCCTACAGACTACACTGTGAGGCCAGAGGGTCTTACCAATGAATGTGATCTCACAGTGGTGCACTTAGACCAATGTGGGCTAACAGAATAGAATAAAAGAATGGGCCTGCCATGGGATTGTAGCAGGTGATGGCTTAGAATTCACTGCTGTACAAAATAGACATAGTATAGCCACATGTTCAGTCTTCTGCTGCAGATCATCTCCCAAAGGATAATAAAGTATGTTCCAGATCTATTGTAATGATAGATAATACTGGTGATGATGACAGTCAAACACATTCACACTTCCATTCATTCATTTATCCCCTGTCTTCATCCACTTGGTCATTCAGTCCTCCATTCATTGAAGTGTTGATGCAATTGCTTATACATTTGTCATTGCAGTTACCCACAAGTTCCTGCATTCCACCATTTGTTCATGCATTCATTCAAAAAATAATCCCTGAGTAGCTATGGTATGCCCGGCACCGTGCTCAGCCCTGGGAGATACAGAGACATGTCAGAACTGGCTCCAGGGGGGCTGATACTCTATGAGCAAAACAAATAAGTGAATCAAAACAGATTCCAGTATAGACAAATGGGAAGACACTGAATGGCCTCTGCTCCTTGTTTCCAGGCAACCTTTAAAGGCTGGATGGACATCATGTATGCAGCTGTTGATTCCCGGGAGGTGAGTCTCAGCCCGCCATGCCTACGGCCTTCCCCTCCATGTGACATGCCCATGCCAGTCTATTTGAAATGGAGTGAAGGTGCCTTGGTACCACAAGCGGTGATCACCCAGCAGCCTGGCACTATCCTTTCCTGGAGCAGGGTCCAGCTGGCCCTCTGTTGGATATTTAGCCAACCTAGCCTGTTCCCTTTCCATGCACACTCCCCAGGCTTCTTAAGATCTTCCTCTGCTCACCAATGAGGAAAGTAGTGGATAACTTCTAAAGGACTGTGTGTAAGGGCACTCCCTGGGCAGAAGCAGGAGTAGGGGCAGTAGCAAGAACAAAGTAGCATCAGAAGGAACAAGATGGCATTTCAGATACTATCGTGGCAGCCAGGTGGAAAAGAGGGACGCTGTTAGGGAAAGACGTATTCCCTCTGTGGCAGACACTGTGTATGACCTGCCCCATATTCCCTCAGCCCACCTCTGAGTTCACTCGTGTGCTGCATTTCTGATTCTACATGTGAGACTTGACTTTCTTCAGTGGTTCAGAGCTGGCTCAGCAGCCCCTCCCTCAAGGGCGGGGAATTTAATGTCCCCCGGGGCAATCCTCATAGAAAAGTTTTGAGAGTCTGTAGATAAATACTCCAGCTTCCCTGTCCCTCAGTGGTACAATTCTGAGTTGTGTTCTACACAGTTCTTTAGAGGGCCCCAACAGGATAGAGAGCCAGTTGCCCATGAAAATGGCCTGCTTGACAACACCCTCTTCACTGGCTTTCTGCTGCTCCTGCTTGCCCTCCCTTCCCTCACTCCTGCTTCCTGAGATCACCTCCCAAATAAACCCCCTGCACCCAGGTCCTTGTCTTGGTGTTGGCTTTTGGTGTGAACCCAAACTAAGACACCTGTCTTCCCCACGCCCCACCTTGTCCGGCCACAGGAGAACCTGCAGCCCAAGTGGGAGGACAATGTGTACATGTACTTGTACTTCGTCATCTTCATCATCTTCGGCGGCTTCTTCACCCTCAATCTCTTCGTTGGGGTCATAATTGACAACTTCAATCAACAAAAAAAAAAGATAAGTGGGGCTGGGACGTTTCTGCAGTAGTGGCAAATCTTATACTTCCTGTCCCCTGGCCTCAAGACTAAAGCCAGCCCTACTTAGAGCCCATCATGCCTGACTGGGAGCCCAATTTTGGCCTTTAACACCAACACAGACCTTTGTCCCCTGGTTGCAGCCCTCACCCCTGTCTAGTGTCCAGGGCTGCTGCTGGAAGAGTTGCGTTTCTCTGTATCAGGAATGCCCCTGAGCCCCACCTGGGGTCCTCATCCTCTTTCCCAGAGTGCCACGGTCTTCCCAGCTGGAGCCAGGAGTGTTGGGTGTGTCCCAGGTAACTCTTTGGGAAATAGTAATAGAGAAAGAAAGGGCTCCAGCACTTGCTGCCTCTGTCTGGGTCCCTCATCCCCAGAGCACTGAATCAGGACACCTCAGGAAGGGCCAGAGCCCCAGTGTTGGCAGTGTCCCAACCCTCTTTGGGATGGGAAGGAAGACCCTTGCCTCTATGGGTGCTGACTCTAATGAATAGGAACCCAATCCCAGATAATCTCTCTCATTTATATTAAAATACAAGGGCATTAAAAGTGTAAAATGCTTTCATGAGATCCTTTCACTTAATACCCTCCATTCCTCTGAGGTACATAGGGCACCATTTTAGACTTGTATAAACCAAGATCCAGGAAAAAAGAGGTCACGTTGGCAAGTCACATAACCCAGCATTGAGAGCCCAGCAATGGCCTCGGCATCATACAAGCCTGGGCTTGCATTCCCCACTGAACTACTTGCTGGATGGGTGACGCTGACAATTTCTTAAATCTCTCTGAGCCTCAGTTTTCTCATCCATTCAATGGAGTTAATAATACCCACTCACAGGGTTCTGGTGAGAGGTAAATAAAACCCTGTGTAAGAAACATCTAGTTGGGGCCAGCCCCGTGGTCAACTGGTTAAGTTCACGTGCTCTGCTTGGGCGGCCCAGGGTTTCGTGGGTTCAGATCCTGGGCACAGACCCAGCACCGCTCATCAAGCCATGCTGAGGCGGCATCCCACACAGTGGAACTAGAAAGGACCTACAACTAGAATATACAACTATGTACTGGAGTGCTTAGAGAGAAGAAGAAAAGAAAAGAAAAAAAGATTGGCAACAGATGTTAGCTTAGGGTCAATCTTTTTTTTTTAAAGAAAAAGAAGCACCTAGTTTTAGGGCTGGGCACACAGGAGGCACTAGAGGAGAACTGTTAGTTACTTTTATAATTGAGAATAAATATCTAATAGGATGGGCACCCCACCTGCAGGAAGTCCTCAGCCGGGGTCCTGGGCATGAGAAGGGCAGGACAGGGCTGTGGGAGCCCTCACTGAAGGGCTCAGTGAGACAGCTGTGAAGTGCTGACCAGTGTCATCAGTACCCTAGAGGGCTTCGAGATCATTCAAGCAATTCTTTCTCCCATTTTACAGATGTCTAAACCGAGGCCTAGACAGGGAGCTGGCCATGTTAAGTGATAGAGTGAGACAAACCAGTGATCAAGCTGGGGTCAGAAACTGTATTTGCTGACTCTTTTCCCAGAATTGTCAGTGTGGCCCACCTAGCGCTTGCCAGCACTCTGCCCCTGTCCCTGGCCCTGCCCCCATCCTCACCAAGATGTTCCTCCAGGAAGTCCTCTGTGTCCATGAATTTTCTGAAATCTCCTCCCTAATGCCACAGATCTCAGCCCATTTCCCCAGCATTTGCAATGACTAATTTACACAAACATGCTACTGAAATGGGAGGCTTTCATATATGTCAGCAAGTGAAAAGTGAGGGGTTGAATGAAGAAAGTCCAAAGGGTTCTTAAAGAAAACTTAATCCTAAGGGAGGAAGACATCTTCACTGGTGGAATTTCTGGCACTGTAACAGCAGAGGGCAGTGCAACTGGCAGGGCCTTAAGGGAACCAATCACAGATTCTCCAAGGACCCTTGGATAAGGCAATAACTGTCCCCAGCTCCTCTTCTCCAGAAAGGGCTCAAAGGGCTGGATCCCAGGGTCTTTGCTCCAGGAGGCCCTGAGGGAAGCTTTTGCTCCTGGCAGGGACTATGATTCTAGAAACCCAATGGATTTGACTGTCACCAGCAGGCTGGATTCAAGGCTCAAATTTTAGACTGATATGTACCTTCTCCTTGGGTTCTGTTCCCAAACCCTCTCCACCCTCTGTCCAGGCAGCATTGCTGGGTTCCTAGAGAAGAGAAACAGGCTTTGTTCCAGAGACCCCGGCAGGGAGTCAGAGCTGGGGCTCAGTCTCAACTGCTCTGTCACCAGTTGTAGCACCCGGGCAGGACACTGCTTGATCCTGGCCTTAGCATGTCTTTCTGCAGAGAGGGGAAAGGTTGAGATGTCCTTCTCCTGCAGCATGCTCTGATTTTGGTATCCCTGGGGGTTCTTGTTGCTTTAATAACAGGAGTGTGTGTTACCCTTTCCTGCACTTAGGGGGTCAGGACATCTTCATGACAGAGGAGCAAAAGAAGTACTACAACGCCATGAAGAAGCTGGGCTCCAAGAAACCACAGAAGCCCATCCCACGGCCCCTGGTGAGCCCCAGAGCTTCCCTCTAGCAAAGTGTGTCTGGAAATCAAACCTACCAGCCTATATCTGTGCTGGGTGGGGGTCTGGCCAGTGCCCTCTCTGGAGGAGGAGATCTAGGTTGAATTTGGGGATGAGGTAATGAGAGTTCCCAGGCATGGGGAATGAGAAGTCTACAAGAAGCAACTCTGATCTTCTGCAGTGAACATAGCTCCTACAGGTGCTCCACATAGACCTGCTTAGGGAAGTACTGAGTTCCCCAACAGGTTTAGGGTTCAAGCATAGGATTGGGAGCAAATGAGGCTAAATGATAGTAAGGGTGGTTAGAGCCCTGAGATGAAACATTTGTGTGGTTACACATCATGATCTAGGTTGCAATGGATCTCTAGCTTCACCCTACATTCCAACTCATGCCTACAGGTAGACAGAGGAAATGGCCAAAACCCAAAACCCCTGGGATCTGTGGACCATTCTTGGTCACGGCCAGGTTGCACAACAGGAACCAAAAATTATCCCACTCTAGTGTTTAAAGATTAACCAAAACCTAGTGCCATACTCCACTTTATTCTCAAAGACCCTAAGAGACATGCCCTTTTATTCCCCCCATTAAATGCAGCACCCAAACCATACACAATATCACCTAAGTTCTTCTCAGCCCTCTGCCAGAAGATGGAAAACAACCTCTGGTTGGCCCCTGTTGGGAGTGGATGAACAGGTTTGTGAGTGGGAGTATTGCTAAGTCAGAAACATACAACTGAACCTCTTAAGAGAATTTCTGAGCCATCCACTCCAGTGAATGGAATTGGCATCTTGTCCCTTTACATAACCTTTCTGTGGTTAAGATGCAGCATTTATGAAGAAACTACAGGTACTGCCCATGGCACAATCCCATTAGCCTTTCCCCACGCAAGGGCAAAGCCTAAGGACCTTCAACAAAGGAACAGATTATGGAGACTTTCATTCTGTTGGCCAAGGCATTAGGATTTCTAAATCAAGACATGAGGTTTGCATAAGTCACTAAAAACTTCATGAGCACAGAATCTTGAAACATTTACAAGAGAAAAAAAATGTTATAAACTTTGATATACCTTACTTGGAAACCGGAGTCATGAATTTATTACTATTCTTAATTCTGATAAGAACTGTTACAATAGGTGGGGCTGGCCCCGTGGCCGAGTGGTTAAGTTCACGCGCTCCGCTGCAGGAGGCCCAGAGTTTCGTTGGTTCGAATCCTGGGCGGGGACATGGCACTGCTCATCAAACCACGCTGAGGCAGCGTCCCACATGCCACAACTAGAAGGACCCACAACGAAGAATATACAACTTTGTACCGGGGGGCTTTGGGGAGAAAAAGGAAAAAAATAAAATCTTTAAAAAAAAAAAAAAAGAACTGTTACAATAGGGAGTGATAGGACGTTCAGACCACTGCAGGGGCAGAGGGTCCTCCCAAATCCCCCAGGAGATAAAGATAACTGGGCTTAGGTGAGCCTGAGGGAAAGTTCTTAATGTTCATTGAGTACCGCTCTGCCAGCCAGTCCAATGGGCAAGAATAGGCTCAAAATTAAAAGATGTAGGTGAAAGGCTGAGCTCAGCCAAACAGAGTCAAGTCAGGGGCAAAGGAAGGAGGATCCTGAGAAACCAGCAGCTGAGTGCATGTTGACCTTTACCGGTTGCTGGACTGATGTTGAATCCACATTTGAACTAGACACCGAGGAGTTCTGTGTAAGGGGCAACCTTGGCAAAATCATGACAGTTTTTGGTACCTTTCCTAACCCACTCTCAATCTCTCTATAATGCCTCAGCTTTTCCCCTCCTCATCAACCAATCCCACAGGCCACTATAGCTTCCTCCTCTCAAAGAGGGCAATTTCCCTGGGACAGGGTGGGCTGCATTTCAAAAAGGGACCCTGGAGAGGACACTATCTTAATATAAAGGTAGGAACCTAATGTTGAAATTCCAGGCACTGCAATAGGAGTGGAATTCAATGGTTGGGCAGGAAGATGTACAACAAAATCACCATTTCTTCTAGCTAAGCCATAACCAAGATCCTCCCACCTTGGCACTGGTGGAGGTCCTCCATATGGATAAGAGAAGAAAGGCCTCATAGCCGAACTGTGTTCCTAAAATTCACCATCCTTCATGATGGTAGGGGTGTATACTAGCTTTGGGGGAGGAACATGGCTCTTTCCTTAATATTCAGGTCCAAGCATGGCAAACACTCTCTCCTTAGCATAGCTGAGGCAAGGCTGGAACATTTAAACAAAACTTTGAAATCTTAAGGATGCCAAAAGAGAAACTAGCAGAGCAGGGCCCAAGCAGCAACTGCATATGGCTGCCCTCCAGAGCCCACAGGCCTTGGCCCATCACAGCTCCTGGCCAGCATCCATACAGCAGGCAACATCTTGACACACACAGCACAGTGGCACAAGCCTGGTCATCTGCCCTCCCTAAAGTCCAGAGCCAAGAAAGAAACCCAAGGAAAACGAGAAATTCCCTCCTCCACCTAAGACCCACCTTCCCAGATCCAGCTTCCTTTTCACCAGATTATTGGCACTGGAATGCTCATCTTCATCCCAACAGGAGTCCCAACAGGTCAAGCTAGTCAGATAAGCAGAGCATTGGCACAGGAGTTCTGCCCCACAGGTGCGTGGGTGCCATTTCATGGCAGGACCAACCTGGGTCAACATAGGGACATGCATGTGTAGCACATACATACTACCTCTCGCCACTAGCGAAGCCCAAGTTCTAAATATTATGCTTCATCCATAGCAAAGACTACAGCTTCCACAAGACTGGTAAATTTTATTCTATAACATTCCCTGCTATTGAAATCACTAAAAGGACGTTTCACATACTCCACTTTATAGGAAAATAATAGGCTCCAGAATGTCACATCATCAGTCACCCACTTCATCATCTATGAGAGCACCGAGGGTTGCAAAGGAGTGATCCCTGCCCACAGGCTAAACCAAGAGCAGCCAGCAAGCTGCTCCACCCCCATCATCCTAATATCCAGGGCAAATCTGACACCCAGATGCTTAGCAATGTTGTTGCCTGATCTGTTTAATTAGAAGTCATGTGGCCACGAATGGGCCTATATTTTTTCACCGTTTTCAGTGATGAAATGAAAGCTATTAGTGATCCAGCAATCCCCCTCCAACCCCAGAAAAGATGTGAGCCAGCAGTTATACCTGGAGCCAGACCCACTTGGGGTTGATTCTTTGCTCTAACCCCACAGGGTAGCAACACATCCCCATCATGAAGCAGACAGCAGGAACCAGCCTCTGTCACAGCCCTTCTTCCCTCTGCCTGCTTTGCAGCTCCTGGGAGCTCCATGGTAAAACTCATGACAGGTTCCTCTCTTCCCCCTCATAGCTACTCATGCAGAGCCCTGCACATAGTACACATTCAGTGACTGCCTGTTGTACAGAATTAAATTTAATCAAATCTAGTAGGGTGGCCTTATAATTGTATTTGAGGTGTGGATAACAGAGCTGTCCATTCTGTCATCCATTCATCCTTCTATGTATTGAGCATTTATTGTGTGTCAGGCAATATGCAGACAATGGGGATAGAGCAGTGAGCAAGATGGAGAAAGTTCCTACCCTCACAAAGATTACAGTCCATTGACACAGGAAAATAATTAGCAAAAATCACACACATATTAATTCACAGGCTTGAGACATTGCCAAGAGAGAAAGAATGGGGTGAAAAGCAAAGTGTGCCTGGGACTGAGCCTTGAGGAGCTCTAACACCTAAAAGTTGGGTAAAGAAGATGCAAAAAAGAGAAGCCAGAAAGGAAAGAGAGAAAAAAAGAAAGTAAGGCATGAGGGGAACCAAGAAAAGAGTTTCAAAGTGGGGGGGGGGTGGTAAGCAATGTCAACAAGTGTCCTTCAGGTTAGCACTACAGAGGTCATCAGTGACCTTAACCAAAACCATTTTACTGGCAGGATGGGGACAAAAGCTATGCTGTTGTGGGTTAGAGAGGGAATGGGAAACAATGATGACACACAACTCTTTTAACAAATTTCGCGGTGAAAGTGAAGAGAGAAGTAGGGTGGTAGCTGGAGGGAGATGTGAACTTCAGGAAGACTTTTCTTCAAGTTAGGAAAAACTATGTCATTAGAGATTTAGCTAAGGACGTGAGGGATAATAGCCAAGAGTGGCCAAGTGTGGCTAAGAGCTTCACTCACTAGTCATGAAGCAAAGGGGCCGGAATGTTGGTAAGTGGCAGCATGAAGAGGAGGTGGAGGTAGGCTAGCTAGATGACACAAGCTTCAAAGGAGGAAGGGTTTTACAAGACACAGGAGGAGCAAAGGTCTGGAAGTGACAAGGGGAAACAAGAAGGACCTCAGGCCTGCCCCATATGCCTGGGGTACATGGGTCGGGTGGGGAAGAATGAGCAGCCATTGAGAAGGAAGAGATACTCGCAGATCAAGGAGAGTGAGTGCCAAAGAGGTCAGGAGAAGGGTTTGGGAGAAGGTGAGGGGTGGAGAATGGGGTTGGGATCAAGTACTCACAGAACAGTAAGATGGTAACAGCACAGGAAAGACTACAGGGCCATACTAGGAACTTTTTTAAAAACAGTTTTTTAAAAAATCTGTTATAAAAATAGATAGGTAGAAATGATCTCTTGGTTATCCAGACCACTCTGCCTCCCTCCAAGGATGCAAACAACCAAGACTTGACCCCATGCCGTGTACCTGCATTTGTTTTGACATCTGCACAGCCCCAGGCATAAAGAAAACATTTGCAAGACTAAGTTGTACCATAACACTTAACTTTACCCTCGAGTCAATAATTTTGCAAGCAGTTCTTGAACTCTTGCTATATGCAGGGCACTACAGGAACACAAAGTTAAATAAGACATGGCCCCATCCTCAAAGAGCTCATTGTCTAATAGAGAAGACAGGAAGTATACCTGAAACGCTAGAACTCAAGACTGACTGTAAAGGCTGTGGGAGCCCAAAGAAAGGATGGAACAATGTGGTATGATGTGATTAAGGAAAATTCTCTGGAGGAAGTGGGACTTAAGAGAGATGGCTCACTCAAGACTGTTGGGATTTAGATAGCCAAGATAGGAGACTAGAAGGGCATTGCAAATGGAAGGTAGAGCATGGCCAAGGACAAAGTGCCTGGTGACTTCATGGGACCAGGAGAGGTAATGAGGACTTAAATTGAGGCAATGAGGTAGAATCAACTAAGAGTGAGATTTTGGAAGGGCTAAGAACAGGACTTGGCTTCTGTTTGGATGTGAAGTATGGTGTGAGGGAGACAAAAGATTCAGACTTTAAAAACCCATCTATGATGTGGTACATATATACAATGGAATACTACTCAGCTGCAAAACAGAACAAAATCATTCCATTTGCAATAACAATAACATGGATGGACCTTGAGAAAATTATGTTAAGTGAAATAAGCCAGCGAGAGAAAGATAATCTGTATATGACTCCACTCATATGAGGAATTTAAAACTATGGACCAAGAACAGTTTAGTGGACACCAGGGGAAAGGTGGGGTGGGGGGTGGGCACAAAGGGTGAAGTGGTGCACCTACAACATGACTGACAAACATTAATGTACAATTGAAATTTCACAAGATTGTAACCTATCAATAACTCAATAAAAAAAAAAAAAGATTGGCACCTGAGCTAACAACTGTTGCCAATCTTTTTTTTTTCTGCTTTTTCTCCCCCCCCCCAAAAAAAAAAAACATTTTCGTAAAGCAAACTGGAACTAGAAAAATAAGCTCTATGTGAGGATTGTGTTGGCCATGCGACCAAAACACCACAAGCAGTGCCCAGCAGAGAATAAGACCTCAATCTATGTTTGCTCAGTGACTATGTGATTGGATCAATGAAGAATATTCCTCCAAAACTGCTATGTATCGGATGGTAGTGTGCTTCTAACCTACCACCTAGGCAATCTCCAGCTTTATCTCTTACCATTTGTTGCCATGCATTTTATGACACAGCAACAACAAATTATCAGTAGTCACATGCTCAGTTTATGCTCTTTTCCTTCTCGCTACAATGGGCTATTTTCTCCCTCCCTTTATACTTTCCCAAGTAAGCCTTCCCACTTCAAGACTGTGCAAATATCACCTATAACATTTTTTAACAGAAGGTAATTATATTTTTAAACAGACTAACTTAAACTTTATAGGTGATTAGTAAAAATAAAATATATGTGTATATATAAATACACAGTCACAAACATTAAAAAAAAAAAAAAAAAACCCATCTATGGAGAACAACACAGCCCCTTCAGATGCCTGGTTTATGTTGGTCGAAAGGTCCTGATGTACCATCTCTTGTTTTCTCAGAACAAGTACCAGGGCTTCGTCTTTGACATCGTGACCAGACAAACTTTCGACATTGTCATCATGGTCCTCATCTGCCTCAACATGATCACCATGATGGTGGAGACTGATGAGCAGAGTGAAGAAAAGACAAGAGTCCTTAACAAAATCAACCAGTTCTTTGTGGCTGTCTTCACGGGCGAGTGTGTCATGAAGATGTTTGCCTTGAGGCATTACTACTTCACCAATGGCTGGAATGTGTTTGACTTCATTGTTGTAGTCCTCTCCATTGGGAGTAAGTTGGTATCAAACATGGTGGGGAAGCCCAGCCTCTGTTTGGGGTTGTTTTGGCTGCTCTTGCAAAATCAAGGGGACAACCAACAAACTTTTAAAACACATGCTATATGCCAGAGGAGACCCATATTTGCTGCCTTCTAGGAGCAGCAGACTTAAATTGCCCCTGGCCTTTCAGTGAAATGGAGAGGTTCCATTTCATGCTGTCACAAAGTGTTTTCAGGCACCTACTGGGTGAACAGCCATTGCCAGAACTTTGGGGGCTGATAGGGAACAATCACTCTTCCAGAGAACCTAAAATGATGGAGTTTCCAGTGGGCCTTATCTTTGTGGTCTTCAAAGCAGAGAGTGGTTGATGTGATGTGAGGTGAGCCATAAAATACTTTCTGGAAAGGGAGATGGGTTTCCAGAAGAGTAAGGAAAGGCTAGGGGGTGGGGCTGGCCCCATGGCGAAGTGATTAAGTTGTTGCGCTCCACATCGGTGGCCCAGGATTTCACCGGTTCGGATCCTGAGCATGGACATGGCACCACTCATCAGGCCATGCTGAGGCAGCATCCCACATGCCACGACTAGAAGGACCCACAATTAAAATATGCAACTATGTACTGGGAGGATTTGGGGAGAAAAAGCAGATTAAAAAAAGACTAAGGGGAGACTGTTCAAAAGAGATTCTTAAGTCAAGGGTCTGGAATTAAATCTCTATATAACTGTCTACTTAGGGAATATGAGCGATAGAAAAGTCAAGGGATCAACGCCAAGAGATCAGTGCTGTTATGGCCTAGTCTGGGTGGTGTTGAATGACAAGCCCAGTATTTTGAGGTCAGTGGAGTTCAGAGAAAACGAATAAAGTCAGAGGCTAAAGTGGGAAATGGAGCCGACATAATTGAGTGCTTGCTGAGTTCTGAGCACTGGGCTAGGCGCCATGGATCTTCACAGCAACCCTGTGAAGGAGTGTTACTATCTTCATTGTATACATTTAAAATTGAGCCTCTGAGATTAAGAAAGTTACGCGAGGACATAGAGTTTGTAAAGGGCGGAGCTGAATTTAGACCAGGCTAATGTTCTTCTAATGAACTAGCCGCCTCCCAGCAACAACCAGGAGACTGTCCCTGGCCTTCCTGTGGTTTAGCCGAAGTTTGGCCCTATGAAGGCCAAATCGCAGCACACCAGCTCTACCTTGCATTATAAATCTACCTTGATCTATTATATCATGACCTGCTCACTCTTCATGTCAGGGCATGGCTGTAGATTTAATTACCCATTGATTTACCATGAAGAGCTAATAGCATCTAAATACAACTTGGCAACACTTAATCCGTCTCCCTACCCTGCTGCTGAAACACAGCCTTGGGTTGTGTTTGTTTGAGGGATTTAAATTTATTTTTGTTTTTTGTTTTGTTTTATTTCTCTGTTGCTGCTATTTTTTGTAGGAGGTTTATTTTGTTTGTTTGTTTATTTGTTTGCCTCCCAAAGTGAGAGATTCTAAAGGCCATTTTGATTTTATGTTAGAGAGGGGAGCTTTCTTATGTGACTTCCCACATCAGTACTATAGGAATAAAATATACTCAGAGTACTCAATTCTATAATGGGGACACCTTAACTATCAGTTCCTATAACCCACACAGCAACACCATCCACAGGGCAGAAATCACTCAGACAGAGAACTAGAAAACAAGTGAAAGAACCCACCTGTTCCTCCTTCTGCCCTCTCTCCCTCTCCCCATTTCTTCCTTCCCGCCAGCAAGACATACTGTTCACAAGTATGAAGATTCATTCTCCCTTGTAGTAGATGTAGACCAGTTGGCTGACAGAAACTTGGGAGATTATATAGACACATAACGTATCCCACACTATGAAAAAATGTCCCAGTTAAACTGAACTTTGAGAGGGACTTTTGTAAAGATTTTATAATCCAAAATTATAATTATTTCCAAAGTGTCCTCCCATTTCTTTCCTCCTTCCAACACAATACTGTGACTACCAATGTTCATATGACAAAAGGCAAGTAGGGGAAGAAGGTGAAGCGAACTGTAGCAAGGAGAGAGCTTGCTGCCACGCCCTCACCGTTTTTCCGGAGAGGCTTTGAATCCTGTCTTACCCAAAGGCTTTGCCTAATCTTTGGTGGTCCCAAGGCCTTCACAGATCCCCCAGACCTCACTCCACAAATCTTCGAGTTAGATATCAAGTAGGAAGTCATATACATTCTTCATCTTTCCAACCTCGTTCATAGTTGGGATGGGGGGCTGTAACTGACCCTAAACGAGCTCATCTCCAGGTCCTAACATAGAGTTCAAATATAGCTGGAAATGAAAGAAACAAATAAAAGCCATTATGCAGACAGCTGGCCATTCAAAGCCATTTTGCTTTAGCTGTCAGCAAGTTGCCCAACTCCTCAGGCCCCCTTATAATTAAAACCAGGCTCTGTACAATTATCCACAGGACTATGTGCCAGGAACTGAGTCAATCTTCGCAGTAGGAGATAGAGAGATGAATCATAGGGGGTCCTGGCCTTCACAAAGCACAGGACCAGGGTGGAGGAACAGGCATGATCCAAAGGCTGAATTTTCAGGGACGAGCAGGGTCTGTTGTCATATATAGAAACAGATAAAGGACAGTGTACATATGGAATATGGTGTAATCACTTCCAGATGAGCTAGGCTGTAGAACATCAGGTTTTGACCATGGAGGTTGACTAAGAAGATATTCCAAGTAAAGGGAAAGATAAGAACATGGTAGGAAGAATGAGGCTTGCTTGAGGGAGAGAGGATTTATACAATAAACATTCACTGAGCCCCTACTTTAGGTCAACCACAGTGCCAGGTTCAGAGGGTCCAGAGTCCTTGAATTCAGATGCTCATGTGGAGGTCCATACGGAGCAGAGATGAGGGATGAGCGAATGTGATCACGGCCAACTTTGTCAGGACTCACGGCTGGAAGTACTAATTAGATCATTTCCCCTTTCTTTGAAAGGCCTGATGTTTTCTGCAATTCTTACGTCACTTGGAAATTTCTTATCCCCAACACTCTTCCGAGTCATCCGCCTGGCACGAATTGGCCGCATCCTCAGGCTGATCCGAGCAGCCAAGGGAATCCGCACGCTGCTCTTTGCCCTCATGATGTCCCTGCCTGCCCTCTTCAACATCGGCCTGCTGCTCTTCCTCGTCATGTTCATCTACTCCATCTTTGGAATGTCCAGCTTCCCCCATGTCAAGTGGGAGGCTGGCATTGATGACATGTTCAACTTCCAGACCTTTGCCAACAGCATGCTCTGCCTCTTCCAGATCACCACGTCAGCTGGCTGGGATGGTCTCCTCAGCCCCATCCTCAACACGGGGCCCCCCTATTGCGACCCAAATCTGCCCAACAGCAATGGCTCCCAGGGGAACTGTGGGAGCCCAGCCATGGGCATCCTCTTCTTCACCTCCTACCTCATCATCTCCTTCCTCATCGTTGTCAACATGTACATTGCAGTGATCTTGGAGAACTTCAATGTGGCCACAGAGGAGAGCACTGAGCCCCTGAGTGAGGACGACTTTGACATGTTCTATAAGACTTGGGAGCAGTTCGACCCAGAGGCCACCCAGTTTATTACCTTTTCTGCCCTCTCAGATTTTGCAGACACCCTCTCTGGCCCCCTGCGAATCCCAAAACCCAATCGGAATATATTAATCCAGATGGACCTGCCCTTGGTCCCTGGGGATAAGATCCACTGTTTGGACATCCTTTTTGCCTTTACCAAGAACGTTCTGGGAGAATCTGGGGAGTTGGATTCTCTGAAGGCAAATATGGAGGAGAAGTTCATGGCAACTAATCTTTCAAAAGCATCCTATGAACCAATAGCAACCACCCTCCGATGGAAGCAAGAAGACATTTCAGCCACTGTTATTCAAAAGGCCTATCGGAGCTATGTGCTACACCGCTCCATGACAATCTCCAATGCCCCGGGTGTGCCCAGGGCTGAGGAGGAGGCTGTGTCACTCCCAGATGAAGGCTTTGTTGCGTTCTTGGCAAACGAAAATTGTGTGCTCCCAGACAAATCTGAAACTGCATCTGCCACATCTTTCCCGCCATCTTATGACAGTGTCACTAGAGGTCTTAGTGATCAAGTCAACATGAGCACATCTAACTCATTACAAAATGGGGATGAAACTGCCAGTAAGGAAGCCACTGCCCCTGGGCCCTAGTGAGGACACTCCACCATGGACATGTCCAGTTCTGATGTGTCCTTCTGCTCTGTGATAACTCTTTCCCACTACAGGTGGCACCCAGCTACCACCTTACCAATGCATGCCACTGGTCACAATGTCAGAACTGGGCAGGGAATGCAGTTGGCACCCACCTTTGGAGAAGCCCACACACACCAACAGGAGTCAGAAGCCAAGAGAATTTCCACTGTGACTTCCTTTTTGACTTTCAATATCAGATGACGGGTTCCCTTACTATCCAGAAAATGTCCCTGGTCCTTTTATTTTGATTGCGACCAGAGCTTACATTTACCAAGACAAACTTCTCAGGACCAGAACTTTCAAAGATATATGGCAGGGATGTTGCTGAATGTCCAAGGTAGTCCTCTGTGAAACACCACATAGAGATTGGCAATGTCATTTAGGATTTTGCATGACTGCATGTTGAGAGCTGCCAGACAATTGCTCTGGCCCAGGGTAATCCCTGTGGCCTATGTCATGAAAGGCCTCGGAGATATCCATTAAAATAAATATTTTTAAAGGGATGTCAAGACTGAAGTTATACCTTAAAGCATTATTTTTTTTACATTATGTGAGACTGACACGTGTCATAAATCACTTCTCCTTTACTTTCAGGGTTCCTGCTATCTTGCAGTTTGAGCTCGAGACTGGGTAGGGCAGGAAGGAGCGCTGTCCTGGGAACTAGTTCTAATCCTAACTCTTCCACTGATTGCCTGGGAACCTGGGCCAAACCCTTTCCATTCTGAACCTGTTTCTCCACTGGGAAAACTGGTGGTAGAGGGAGACAGAATGGATACTTTCTCTAGCCCTTGAATTTCATGTTGTAGAACTCAGTGGTGCCCCACTCAATTTAGATGAGAAAACACTCTTTTCTAAAGCTGCAATAGTCAGACCTTTCTGCTGTGTAGCTAAGGAGGCAACTTTTGGATACATTCCAGAAACTATTCCACATCTCATAGACTTTAAGGAGGAAGGTTTTCTTATTTCCCTTGGACCAGGGCACCATAATTAGTATGATCAAAAGAAAAGGGACATTTTGATAAAGATGATCTGGGAGATAAAAGATTTGGCCAATATTTTCTTTAATTCATCCTATAAATGTTATTAAGTATCTATTACATGGCAGGCGCTGCTCTAAGCACAAGAGATAATGAGAGGTAAATCCCAAAAGATTAATTGGATTTATGCAGTGAATGGAGCAAGGGTTGTCAGAGGAGACTATTCAGCCCAAGGCACACGGCAAGTCTTAAGAAGAAGGAGAGCAAGGAGTTCATGTGACAACATAGGACATAAAGGATGTTAATGACAGCCATGATCTTCTATTAACTCTTGAGATATTCCCTGCCACAATGACAAAGATCACATCAATTCATTGATATGTATTTGGTGACTTCATAAGATTTCCCATTTATATAATTACAAAGCCTAGAGGCTGATCTACCTTATGTGCCTCACAGATACAGATTTTTCTGGGGCCTTGCTCTCCTTTCTCTATCACTGTTAGCCCATCAGAGGCCAAAGAGGCTTTCAAGATAATTGTTGTATGTGGCCAGCCCCGTGCTGTAGTGGTTAAGTTCGGTGGACTCCGCTTCGGAAGCCTGGGTTCACAGGTTCAGATCCCAGGCGTGGACCTACACCACTTATCAGCCATGCTGTGGCAGTGACCCACATACAAAATAGAGGAAGATTGGCCTATATGTTAGCTCAGGGCTAATCTTCCTCAAGCAAAAAGAGAGGAAGATTGGCAACAGATGTTAGCTCAGGGCAAATCTTCCCCAGCAAAAAAGATGCTTGTTGGGGTTTGCCAGCACCCACAGATGCAGGTTAATAAGATGACAATGGCATAGCTGAGGCAACAGGCTGTCCCAGTACAAATAAGCTATTCTCTGGACCCCTGGTTTGTATATAAAAGATAAGTTCAACAAAATGGCTTTTCCTCCCTAGTTCCACTAAACCAGAGAGCACACATGTCGACTGTGCAGCTTCTTCAGCATCTAAATCTCATGCAATCAATGAAAATGCTATCTGAGAGGATGCTAGCCCAAGTGTTTATGAGACAGCTGGGTGGACGGAGAGCTTGGGGAATGGTTTACTTTTACACTATTATGTGGAAGGATTAAATGTACCCAACCATCAGACTAGTTTTATTAAGTAGATGATATTATTCTCAAAGATATTTTTGTTACATTTTTTGCCCCATGTTATGAGTTGAATTGTGTCCCCCAAAAGATATGTTGAAGTCCTAACCATGGTACCTGTGGATGTGACCTTATTTGGAAATAGGGTCGTTGCATATGTAATCAAATTAACATGTGTCATAATAGATTAGGGTAGGCCAGTAGTGTCTTTATAACATGATGTAAATTTAAACATAGACAAACAGAGAGGAGAATGCCACGTGAAGACACAGACACACACACACACAGAAGACAGCTATGTGAAGACAGAGGCAGAAATTGTAGTGATGCAGCTGCAAGCCAAGGAATGCCTAGGATTTCTGGCAACTTCCAGAAACTAGGAAGAGGCAAGGAAGGGTTTTCCTCTAGAACCCTCAGAGAGAGTAGAGCCCTGCCAATACCTTCATTTCAGACTTCTGGCCTCCAGAGCTGTGAGAGAATAAATTTCTGTTATTTTAAGCCATCTTGTTTGTGGTAATTCGTTACAGCAGCCCTTATGAAACTAACACACCCCACATTTTTTTCCACACAGATACATTTCCCAAATTATAATGAGAACCATTGGAAAAGCAATGCAATATACACACCTTGCATTACACAAAGTTTTCAGAAATGTATTCAATATAAGTGCAAGATTAGCCCTTGACAATTTCAGTACCTTTAGTTCCAAAGTTTACGTGATGGTCCAATTATAAGGTAAGAACTAGACTTGTAGGGAAGCAAATCTGAGAGGTCCAGGGCATATGAAGAAACAGAGCTACCTTCTCAACCCCACCCATAGGAAATGGCACTAGAATCTCTCTGGCCCAAAATATGTGAGGATCGTTAGTGCTAAAGAGAGATAAACGGAGAAGTGGTGTTGACTGTATGAATATCTGGAACCTGCAGTTTCTTTAAAATATGTCTCCATCGTAAACACTACCCTGACTTTTTATCTGTTAAACTGCATTAACACACAGACATGGATGGCCAAGAACATTCAGGAACATCCAGCCAACACAGATGGGAGATGTAGGCATGGTGTGCTAAAGCATTTGCCTTGAGAGAAAGGTGAAGCCACTTTCTCAAGTGCTGGGGATGCAAAATTAATAAGAAATAATTAGATAATCAAAAAAGTAAGGTAAGAAAGAGGATAAAAGAGAAATAGAGACTAAGAGAACAAGTATAAGTAACGAGTATGAGTAATGTAGTATATTTGAACACAAATATATCAGTAATTATATTAAATATAAATGGACCAATGGTCCAGAAAATAGACAAAGATTATCAAGAAGAATTTTAAAAATTCAAATAAATGATATTTACAGAGAAATAGGTACACCTGAAACCTAAGGTTACCAAATGGGTGAAAATAAAATGCAAGAAAAATATGTACCATGTAAATTAATCAAGTAGCTGCTAAATACATGTTCTTTTCAAGTACTTATAGAACATTTACAAAAATAATCTATATACCCAGCCATAGAATAAAATTCAAAAAGTTTTCAGGGGATTAAAAACATATAATGTATGTTTTTGGATCATAATACAGTTTAGCTGAAAATCAATAACAAAAAGAAACAAACCAAAGCATATATGGATACCTAATATATGACGAAGGTGACATAACATGGCAGTGAGGAAAAGATGATCTTCTTACAAATGGTGCTAGGACAATTGTGTTTTCATGAGAAAAAGAAACAAAATTGGACCCTTACCTAAAACCATACTTAAAAATCAATTCCAGGGGACGGCCCAGTGGCGCAGCGGTTAAGTTCATATGTTCTACTTCTTGGTGGCCCGGGGTTCGCCGGTTCAGATCCCAGGTGCAGACATGGCACCACTTGGCACGCCATGCTGTGGTAGGCATCCCACATATAAAGTAGAGGAAGATGGGCACAGATGTTAGCTCAGGGCCAGCCTTCCTCAGCAAAAAGAGGAGGACTGGCAGTAGTTAGCTCAGGAATAATCTTCCTCAAAAAAAAAAAAATCAATTCCAGCTGTACCTAAATGTGAAAGGCAAATCTATAAAGCTAAAATCTATAAATCTAAAAAGGACATAATAGAAGAAAATGTCTACATGACCTTGGAATAAAGAAAAGACTGATAAATTTGACTATACTAAAATTTAGAAGATCAGTTCATTAAAATATATCATTAAAAGAATGAAAAGGCAAGCTATAAAGTGGAAGAAAATACTTAAAACACTGATATCCAACAAAAGTTTAATATTCAGAGGAGATTTTTATTAACTTCTACAAATCAATACAAAATAGATGACACAGTAGGGAAAAAATGGCAAGAGATTTGAAGAGGCACTTCACAAAAGAGGAAACCTAAATAACGAATAAACATAAAATGTTGCATAACCTCAGTAGTAATCAGGGAAATGCAAATTAAAACTATAATGAAATACCACTGCACATCTATCAGACCTGCAAAACTTTGAGTCTAACAAATATCAAGTGTTGGCAAAGATGTAGAGTAACAGGGACTCTCATGCACGGCTGGAGAGTGTAAACTGGCACGATCATTTTGGAAAACAGTTTAACTTTATTGAAAGAGTTAAAGATACATGTACCCATGACTCCAGTTTTCTACTCAGAGATACGAAACTTAGAGAAATCCATGCACACATGCTCTAGGAGAGATACACGAGATTTTTTATCAACATTGTTCATAACAGACTCAAATTAGAAGCAACCTAATGTCAGTAGATTAAATTAATAAATTGTGGTATATTTTTAAATGTAATTTTATGCAATAATGAGAATGAATGAGATGTAGGCTCGTACAAGTCCACAGATGAATCTTAGAAACAATATTGAGTGAAAGAAGCCAGACACCAAACTGTATACACTATATACTTTTATGAGGTTCAAAAACAGGCAAAATTAAATATATTGTTTAGGAATGAATAAAGAAAAGCAGGAATTAGTCCATAAAAGTCAAGGTACAGGTTACTGATAGGAGGAAGGAGGCATTTGATAGTGGGTCTTTGGCAACATTCTAATTCCTCACCCTGGTGGTTCTCTTTACAAGTATTGTCTTTATAACTGTTAACCTAAACATATGTGTCTAATGTACTTTTCTGTGTGTGTGTCATAGCTCATAATTGTTTTTCTAAATTTAAATGGCTTAATTTAGATTCTCATCCCTCTTCACAGAAGTAGTTACAATCTGCTACTCGAATTGTGACGTTTCTATCTTGGTCTTGGATTATCTGAGCCGAGTTGTAAAAGGAGGAGTAGGAGTTCCATAGTGGGTAGTAGAAAAGGAAACTCTAGAGAAAGAGAACTTTCCACTATCAACTCTATCCAAGTAACCATCGTCTCTCACAAGTATTATTTCAATAGCCTTCCAATTGGTCCCCCATTTCTACTCTTGTCCCCAACAATCTATTCTCCTCCAACAGCAGCCAGAGCTCAAAATCTACCCACGGCTCCTATGGCACTCCATTCCAAGTATGCATCAACACAGTGGTTTTACATAATCTGGCCCTTACTCATCTCTGACCTCATCTCCCAACCCCGTACCCCGCAACCCCGCCCGGGTGCTTCAGCCACCCTGTCCTCCTTGCTGTTCCTTAAACACACCAGGCATGGTCTTGCCTCAGTGCAAAGGCCCTTGGCACTTGCTTTTTCCTTGGCCATTCTATGCACACAGCTCACTCTGCCACACTTTCTTCAGTTCTTCCCTGACCAACCTATCTAATTACCAGCCACATCCACAGCACTTCTCACCCTCTGGT